AGTGTTATTTACGAAAATATATGTTTATAATTTTATGAACTTGCTTGGCAATACCCACCCCAAGTAGATATAATGTGTACATATTTTATTAAATAAAGATATACTAACAAAAATGAAATACTGTGGAATACTTTATTTTCGCTGGAATTAATTTTCGCTGAAAAGGCTTTTTGAGTGTTTGTATGGAATTTATTTTCACTGATTTTTGATGAGTTTAATGTGAAATATAGGGAAAAAAGTATATTCGCTGGATTTTATTTTCACGGAATCATCCCTTCAGTGAAAATAGCGAAAATAAATTCCAAGCGAAAATAAAGTATTCTACAATATTGATTATTTCATATTTTATTATATAACCTGCACAACAGTAATCAATATTTGTCCTTGCTAGAATGATGTTTAACTTCATGCGGGAATCCTGATAAAGTTCACAACTGGCGATTTAGCAGTATTAGGGATTGTCAACTTCTCGTGAATTTGATTACCTAACATGTTTAGGTTCATGCGCTGCAAGTTGCAGAGCACGTACCTAAGCGCCACCCCCACCCCAGCAAATAATTAAGCCAAGGCGGTTTCGATATCAAAATCAAGAAACTCTCCGATTTGACACAATCTGGGAAGTTCGAATTACTAAATGAAGTACAGGATGACGAAGCTGAAATATCCAAGAACCAACACATACTAAAAATCTCAAAAGTGGATATTCGTGGTGTATTTTAATTCTAATCGGACCGGAAGTGGGAATTTGTTAGTACTGTAAATAACATATTGGCGATCCTCTCCGCTAGGATTTCCTTTATAATCATTTTTTGGCAATCCGATTGCCCTTATAATCACTTTAAAATTTGTAGGTTTGTGTGTGTGTGATTCCCAATGTTTTCACGTATTATTTCTTCTGTGATTTTTTTGGCTTGGCCGATTTCGCTCAAAATTGGCAGGTAGGTCACACCTTCACCCTAGTTATTTGAAAAAAATTGGAAAAAAAATTGGCCCACCGTTGCCATAGCAACAACCAAAAAAAACTTTTTGGGGATAGCTTCGCGCCAAATGCATCTTCTACAAATTTGGGATAAAACACCCCTGACATAGCTCATTCTACTCAGCTTGAGTGTGGGCACAAAGTTACTATTTGAATTTATTTCATTTCCGTGAAATTTAACCCCAAAGTTGGGGTAACTGTTCACCAGGAATGGCTTTTTAACTCTTCTGTGATTTTTTGGGCTGAGCCGATTTGATTCAAACTTGGCAGGCAAATCACACCTTCACTGTAGTTGTAAAATCTGAACACAAATTCTGGCAATAATGTACTTTTTCGATCGTAAATGCAAATGGCGACGTTTTGAAATGACAATGTACGCTATTTTGTACTAAAAATTCATTTAATATACAAACATTGAAGCATTGTTTTATACTGGTGTATCGAATAAAGTCATTAGTTGTTGTATAATTGACTTGAACTGTTATGAACCCCCAAGAATCAGAAATATCACATGTTTTCCGATCGACTACGTTAACATGAACGACGCCATTTTGACAAGATTAGTTTAGCCATGGATGTAAAAAGTCTCTTTTTACCTCCATGGTTTAGCGATGTCAGCATGCTGGCACGCTATTTTTTTCCCTATTAAAACTAGAAGATGAACATAATTCTCGATATTAATCTTTACATTTCAGGAACTGGATGTTTATGAGTTGGTAGGCTGGTTTTAACATCATGGTTTAAAACCCCAAAATTTCATAGTGATAATTTTGTTTACATGTTTTTTTTTTACGTTGTGGTTGTCCGAATTTGAAGTCAAAGTGAAGTAATCAATGGGGTATCGCTTTGCATGACGGTAAATTTGCCGATTTTAATGAATATTCTGACGATATTGTAATGTGTTTGACTTCCTGACTCCCTTGATCCGGGTGTGAACGGTTTGTTTACCCGCAACGCGGTTCGAGACAAAAGAACGCTAGTCGTTTCCAGACCGGGGATAGAGGGACTGTGTTTTAATGTAAGCCATAGGCTTTTATATACTAGTATCAAGGCGACTGAAAAATCGCGGAACCGATGGCAAGATATTGGTTAGAAATGGTTGATACGATCTATTTATGTATTCCATGGAGCTAATGTGTAACCCATACATGGTCTTTGAGGTTTGCCACGATGTCACAATGCATGCGGTCAAACAATGAAATATTAGCCTTACATATGCATGTTTGTATGGTAGGTGTATTGTATACGCAGGGTATACAGTAGTTTTCGTTTTGGGGGGTGAGGTGGCCCTGAAAGGGACCGTTTGTGGTTCATTTACGCCAGAGGCATACGGTTTGGGTGTATTTGAAGCCTTGCTTTCTGCAGTTATTAAATGTCTGAGCTCAACTCCATGCACAAGGACAGGTAGAGAGACAAAGCATTACACATTGTGCTGTTTTGTGAGTACCCCCACTTGTGTAACATTTTGTGTTCTTTGATGAGAAGAGAGTGTATGAATAGTAAATGAATAGTTCGTGGTATCATCGTAAATATTGCAATGTCATACCAAGTGACATTTAAAAAACATAAATGCAATACCGTAGCGAGATATTCGAGTTTGTGTCTATGCGAGATTACGGTAGTTCTCTTTTTGGAGGATGTGGTGGCCCTAAAAAGGGCCGTTTGGTTTGTGTATGCTAGGCATACGATTTAAGCACGCTCACCACGGATACGGCGGGCAAGTTGGATGTCCTTGGGCATGATGGTGACACGCTTGGCGTGGATAGCGCACAAGTTGGTGTCCTCGAAAAGGCCGACAAGGTAGGCTTCGCTGGCTTCCTGCAGGGCCATGACGGCAGAGCTCTGGAAACGAAGATCGGTCTTGAAATCCTGAGCGATTTCACGTACTAGACGCTGGAATGGGAGTTTACGGATCAGAAGTTCGGTGCTCTTCTGGTAACGACGGATCTCACGAAGAGCCACGGTACCTGGCCTGTAACGATGAGGTTTCTTCACTCCTCCGGTGGCTGGTGCGCTCTTACGGGCGGCTTTGGTTGCCAACTGTTTACGTGGTGCTTTACCACCGGTAGATTTACGTGCGGTTTGCTTGGTACGTGCCATGCTGAATTCTTCTTCTCGCTCAAGAATGAAGTGATATAAATTCGAATATCGGCGTCCATTATTTATACCACAAAATTACCATTAGGATTGGTCAGGGCCATTTACAGGGGCATTGTGATTGGTCAATTACGATACCTTCTGATTGGTCGAAATTAACGCAATGTCATTGGTTGAAAATCATCCAGTCGAATCCGAAATTGTACCCAAGCTCACACTGTTATTCTCGTGCAATAGTAGAATTCGGATTTGTATCTAAGGTTCGTAACGCACGACGTAAACTTGCTCACAAGTCTTCCTGTTTTTCAAAAATAATAAAATGTAATTAAAAATTTCAGCATTTCTGCGCACAATTTCCTCGACGGTAACTTGCTTGTATTGGAAGCATAATTAAAAATATAGTCTTTATTTTGTCCCATATGAATATTGATATTGAATTTTTTCTAAAGATATATTGCAAAATAGTGCGTTACAACATGGACCTACTGTCGATCCGTGGTTAGAAGGTTAACTATTACATACTTGGATAGGAGGTGGAGCTATTTTTTTCAGAATCTCTCTCGAATGTGTGTGATTTTTTTTCCGTCCAAAATCTCTGCAATTTTGTTTTCCACCCGACTTTCTATTAGTTAGTTTCTTAGCATTTTGTATGATTACCGGTATTCTGTAGGTGCATTGAGGCTGGCCGGTCGTCAGTTAATATTCCCACGCCTTGGCGGAAAATTCGTTATTTGGGACATTGAATCACAATGGAGTTGGCCATGATTGAATGGCGGAGTATCCGGACGCGTCATAAACAGAACTGGGGCGCGGGAAAACGACAATGGAGTGTGAATGTCAATAAACAGTAGAAAGCGCGGGTTCGTCGTCGAGTTCACAAAGGATGTTTTGTTCTATTGTATAATGGAGACGCTACCAACGAAATGTTTCTTTGTTTTTTTCTTTGCGAATTATTCGTTGAATTACAATAGACTGGCTGCGAACGGCGGAGTATCCCGTCGTAAACAGAACTAGGCGCGGGAAAATGATAGTGGACTTCCATTGTATAATGGAGACGCTACCAACGAAATGTTTCTTTGTTTTTTTCTTGGCGAATTATTCGTTGAATTACAATAGACTGGCTGCGAACGGCGGAGTATCCCGTCGTAAACCACGTGGTCGTAAACAGAACTAGGCGCGGGAAAATGATAGTGGACTTCCATTGTATTATGGAGACGCTACCAACGGAATGTTTCTTTGTTTTTCCTTGCGAATTACCTCATTATTAATTAAAAAAAATAGCATCACAAATCATAAAGTCGGCAGTTCTGAAAATGTTAAAAATATCGCTGATAATACTACAGTGTTTTTTGTCCTGCCTTTTAGTATTGTACAGCTGTATAGCAGGGATGGACTAGCTTTATTATTTTTTTTAATCCTCATATGCCAACTCCCCGCGAAAATACTAAGCCCTCAGACAGACTTGATAAATATATAAAATAATAAAAATATAAAAAATAATAAGGCAAGCCACAGTCCCTCTATCTGACTGTGGGCAAGCTTTATTTTATTTATAAATTCGCATATTATTGATTCAAGCTTCACGTGAAGAAACTAAACCCTCAGACAACTGCGGGCCGAATACATGGATCCTAAAAAAAATACATGTAGTGAGCTTAACTGGAGGGTCTATGGCTTAACCCTGAAACGCAATGTAAAACTCCATTGACCTCCAAATGCAGCGTGTCAATTGGACGAGACCATCGCAATGTCTGTCCAATAAGCAGTGAGAATAATTGAATTATAAAGTTGAGAATAGAGATGCAAATCCACAAGGCTTTTCTATCCGTCAAGGCCAACTATCATGTTTTCTTTCACGTTCGCAGCCAGTGTATAAAAGTAAAGAGACTCGGAGTATTTGGCAGTTGATTTTACTTCTACAAATTCAGCAACTATGTCTGGTCGTGGTAAAGGAGGAAAAGGTTTAGGAAAAGGAGGCGCCAAGCGTCATCGTAAAGTTCTTCGTGATAATATCCAAGGTATCACCAAGCCAGCCATCCGTCGTCTTGCACGTCGTGGTGGTGTGAAGCGTATCTCTGGTCTCATCTACGAAGAAACCCGTGGTGTATTGAAGGTTTTCTTGGAGAATGTTATCCGTGATGCCGTCACCTACACCGAGCATGCCAAGAGAAAGACCGTCACCGCCATGGATGTCGTCTATGCTTTGAAACGCCAGGGCCGTACTCTGTACGGTTTCGGTGGTTAGACTTACCAAATACAAAACGCAAACAAACCAAACCAAACGGCCCTTTTCAGGGCCACCACATCCTCCAAAAAGAGAACTACCGTAACGTGTGCTGTGCTATGTGTGTTAGTGTTGTGCAGTAATATTGAGTATGGTTGTGTGTCCATAGTATTTTCAATTAATTCGTTGTCTTGTTTCCCAACGTAATCACCCAGAAAGGGTGATTGGCACTCCTATCATGGTGTCGGTGCTGTGTAACCTTATACCATGGATTAGTTCCATGCTTATACATACCTACGAACTTAATCTTTAAAAAATACAGGTCAGGGCCGTTGAAGCCATTGACTATGGTCTGCTGCCCAACTAATTCGTCTCTACTCAGAAATATATACACATATCCATCTTACATGAATGCGTGATTCCGTTTTAACGACACTTATAAAACATATTAATAGATTAGCGTGAGTTGTTGCTGCCATAAACGCAAAATATAGATACAGTCACACTCTCCCAACAACTGTGATACCATGAATGCAAGTTCGAGTAGTACCATCATCGTCTGGCACCGAATGAGAAATTGCGAAGCGAGCCAATGTTTGCGAATTGTTTTCAATAGCCATTAGAATTAATATAAATTAAAATAACGCATTAATGAAATGTGATGCCACCAGTTTTTATTCCCTTCTATCCGTTGTCGTTATGCGCACTCTAACTGTGGTTGGTACTGTGCATGCCAACACGTGAAACTATGAACGCCCTCAAACGATGAACAATGTGTTTTATTTGCAAGTATTCCATGCTATACTGAGTCTCCCGCGTAAAAGAAATAGGGGTTAGATCTGGCCACACAACACCTAGTCTAAGTAAGGCACATGGTCTAAGTAGAGAGTGCTCCCGCTATAATGTCACGGTGCTACTTTACCTTTGCGCTAGTACTCAACAAGATTGAACCTTTTTATTTACTTTTTGTTTAATATAAAGTTATACCTTGTGTATATATTATATGTTGCTAAACCAAATATCACATGCAAAAAACACTGTTCACGGTAGTTCTCTTTTTGGAGGATGTGGTGGCCCTAAAAAGGGCCGTTTGGTTGTGTATGCGAGGCATACTATTTACTTGGATTTGGCGTGGGTTTTTTTGGGCAGAAGTACAGCCTGGATGTTAGGCAGTACACCACCTTGGGCGATGGTTACACCGGACATCAGTTTGTTCAATTCCTCGTCGTTACGGACAGCCAACTGCAAGTGACGGGGAATGATTCTTGACTTCTTGTTGTCACGGGCGGCGTTACCGGCCAACTCAAGGATTTCAGCGGCTAAGTACTCGAGTACGGCAGCCAAATAGACTGGAGCACCGGCACCGACACGCTCGGCATAGTTGCCCTTTCTCAGGAAACGATGTACACGACCAACTGGGAACTGCAGACCAGCTCGGGTGGAACGAGTCTTAGACTTGCCCTTTGCTTTGCCTCCTTTACCGCGACCAGACATATTGAATTATCAGTTTAGCTCGTCGAGAAAACTATAGCTATTTGGCGGTTTACTATCAGTATTTATACCTCCCGCTCGGATTCTGGTCGTATAGTACCTCCACCAATCAAAATACGGCAAAGCGCGACCTTGGTAGTACTTGTATATTGTTGAGGGTCAATGGTAGATACACAATGTAATTTAAGTATACTTAAGTTATGTTTTCTCTTGCGTTCGTTATGTTTCCCGCCTTGCTTGTCGAATCCTTCATTTGCATTTCATTCACTATATATAATGGGACCTACGACGGTTACTGTCATTCTGAACATTATTTCTGACGTTCAACATGCCTCCAAAAACCAGCGGTAAAGCAGCAAAGAAAGGCGGTAAGGCTAAGGCCGCCGCTCGTAGTGGTGACAAGAAGAAAAGAAGGAGGGGGAGGAAAGAATCCTACGGTATCTACATCTACAAGGTATTGAAGCAGGTTCATCCAGACACCGGTGTCTCTTCCAAAGCTATGTCAATCATGAACAGCTTCGTCAACGATATCTTCGAGCGTATTGCATCAGAAGCTTCCCGTTTGGCTCACTACAACAAGCGTAGAACCATCACCAGCAGAGAGATCCAGACCGCCGTCCGTCTCCTGTTGCCTGGTGAGCTCGCCAAGCACGCCGTCAGTGAAGGCACCAAAGCCGTCACCAAGTACACCAGCTCCAAGTAAATCGTATGCCTAGCGTACACAAACCAAACGGCCCTTTTCAGGGCCACCACATCCTCCAAAACGAGAACTACCGTAATACCAAACAATGTAATATTTTAAATACTACTCGCTTCGATATTTACACTATATATATATATATATATTTATATACAGCGGCCTATAAGTACAACTAGAATATGACAGGAATACATTACTATTGTGGGGGAGAATAAGAAAATTCTCTGGGATATACTGTAGTAGTTATCAAGGCATTATAGAATGAGCAAATCAAATGAAAGTGAAATTGGTTAAGGTTACAAAAAAACCAAATCCTGTCAGCCCTTTCATTATGTAATGGTCTATTAGCTTCAATGTGCAAATTGTGTGCAGAGATACGAAATTTACAAAGACAAATTCTGATTGATATATTGTCAATAATGTTAGATATTGATAATGATGTTATCAGAAAATAGAAGTGTCGTCGTCGTAAAATAATGTCTCTAATGGCAACTGATATGAACCATATGTTTGGTGGGATCGTATCTTCCATGATGCGATAAACATGCATCATACAGTAATAATTTTTATGTAATATTTTGTTTTATTGTCTAAGGAAGGTAGTGTACTTATTGTCTTTATCATACAGTAATGTTAAATGGTATAGTAATGAATTTATTAATATATTAATAGTGTTACGAAAGGAACGTATAATTTTGGCTTGCTTGCTTGCAGATAACAATTACATTATAGAGACACCATGTTCGCCCCAAAGGAATGCATTCCAACATGGAGGTAAAAGCCAGATTACATATAGTCTAGCTTTATTCATCCAATTGACATATGCCATTACGGTAACGATAGCGAAAGTGTACTGTTTTGCAAAAAATCGATGATCTTCAAACTACCGACTGAGGGCGCAACTCCCTTAACTTGTGGACAGTACTCGTTTCAGTTGCGAGTCAAGCCATTTCGCCCTATCGATTGATGGATTGTGGCTTAACTAATTAATAAGGTCATGGAGGTAAAAAGAGAAGGAGTCACAGCCAATATAATCCCCCTAAACTTCTTTTGTTTTAGCCAAGTTTAATCATATAATTCCCTTTGTCTTATCGTCCTTTCATCCCAGGCTCGTCGCCGACGCGTCATTTACTTGTCAAGCGTTGCTGCGTACAGTACACACTCCAATGTCTTGTTTTATGGTGTCGCAGTAAAAGCCAAATGACATAAAGCATACACAGATCTTTTAAACGTAGAGGAATCGTGTTTGTGGGAACGGGAAAGTTAGAATTTTGAAAATTAGAGAATTTCTTGTTAAGTTTATGTAATTTTTCGTTTTTCAGAAATTTTTCCGTTGTATTATTGAATCGGCAATATGGTAATGTTTCGAAACCTAGATAGTACTGTTTTTTAGTCCAAAATAAAGCTCGTTTAATGATCTTTGCAATGGTGCATGACATAGACCGCACCGCGTTGTAAAAGAGACTGAATTTTGAGGTTCGAAATGACACTTTTTGAAGTTTATATCCCGTGTATGTCCTACTTCTATGGCAGTGCATGGAGGTAAAAATTCGCTGCATTTTTTGTTTTCGAGCAATCTTTTTGTTTACAGCATGTGCAAAACAATTCTTCGTCTGTAATATGCTCTTCGATTTTGTTTACGTCTTCTGAATTGAAGCATATAGCAGTTTCAGCATCGTAGTCAAACTCGTGCGCGTTATCGATCGTCGCCATATTTATTTATAAGAATTTGACTAGAATTGTCACGAAAATCACCGAATGCTGTCGAAGGCGTCCGTAGTATGCTAATGCATAGTAATCCTCACTGCGCTAAGCGGAAACTGCCCTCCTTGGTCCGTTCGGCAAATAAACTCCCTGATCTATGTACAAACAGCGGCGACCATCCTGGTACCTTTGATCTAAGCTTGGCTGTGACTCTTTTTACCTCCATGATAAGGTGGATGTTGTAAAATTTCACAATACCATGTGCTGTTTAACTCATACATATTGCTTTTATTATTATTAACATTTTTACGTACCTGGAGTTCATATTATCTGTGAAATGATAAATATGTCTAGTTGTTATCCTAGACACTCGTACATACTACCAAAAATAAATACTATTAGTTTGTAATGGTGTAATTAATTTAATCCTCACTGACAGGAGTGTAGTAGTATTTAGAGATAAATTTAGCTCACACATTTTAATTAGATTAGCATAACATTCAACCCGCCCTCCTCCAGTTGCTTACATCCAAACGAACGACAGTTTTTCAACTTTTCATAATACATGTACTTGCCTATTCCATTAAACTATGAGTTGACCTTTGACATTCTGATCACAAATAAGCGAAATGTATTTTGAAAATCAAAAACAATAGGAAATTACTAGGGTTCACGATATCATGCCAATATTTGTTTTTGCGAAATCGATGTTTAATACTTGTAGTACAAATCATGGAGATTTGAGTTGCCCCAAATAACAATTGATAACAATTAAAAAAATAGAACGTGATTACATGTTCAGTACCAAATATACTAGATTCTTCAAAATAAACCTTCGAGGTCACAAAATCTACTAGTTGTCCACATTTCATTTTAAACACGAATGTATTATTTTTTGTGAACATTGCTACAGCGAGAGCGCCGCCAGTGTTCGTACTTGAAGTGGAAATGCATGTCAAAGGTCATGTATGTTTGTCTTACAACATAAACTGATACGATCTAAAGTTGGTCTGTGTTTGTATTTAGATGGATATGAAACCGCGATATTTCATGGAACGTAACACAGTTTTTGTATCTTGTGTGTTCACAACAGGTATGTTTCTGAGAAATGGATCTCGTTAGAATATGAGAAATTCCATGATTTGCTCTTCTGGTTGCGCGACAGTCCCCTGGTATGAGAGTCCTTTTATTGTTATCTGAGATATAAGTTTAACTCTGATATCATTTCCACATTCCTGCTGCTTTATTGGAGTTTTGGGACTTCTGTGTTAAATATGTGACGATATGAATATGCGCGAATAAGGGTAAACATGTAAAGATTCCACGGATTTGGGCCGAATTAGTATGGGCAGTGATTCGAAAATAACGTGAATCATTGTGAATCCATAAACTTGGCAAATAAAATTCGAACAAACAGTCAAATTCAACCCAAAATAATCTCCAACATTAACATATTTCCCACAACTCACACCTTCCAACCATCAAATGTTTCACATACTATGCCATGCCCTCAATAAAACTGTTGTATGATCTCTGCGTACATTGCTGTTTTAGGGGTGTTTAATATGTACATTTGGATTTGACAACACCTCAACACGTTTGTATGAGCATGGAAGGTACTAACGGAAGGAGCCACGACGCTATTGTTTTAGCTTTGCCCCATGATCGTTTGTCAATATTTGTTCACAAACATTGGTTCTGTTAGCTCTTAACACCTTCGTACAATAGGTTACGCTAGTCTCGAGCATTCGGTGATATTCGGATCATGTTCGGAAGCGATAGACGAACCTCGCATGTAAAATGCTGAAAATGGCGTCTAGTTTGAATGCTGTTGTTTCCGGAGATCTTGGCGAACTTTAATGAAAAATTAGCAGACATAACATCGATTGGAGAAGAACTGATGAACTATCGTGAATCTTTTTGCATTCGTAACGGTGATGAGACTTAATCAATGATTGCCTGTGATAATAACGACTGCATTATTCAATGGAACCATTGTCATTGCGTGGGTTTGACGCCCGAAACTATTGAAATTTTCGACCACCGGGCATCGGCGAACACCACCAGAAAAGATAGTATCAAAAGAAGGGCATGCCTAGACACTTTCTCTGTGATAATATTTTTTAGGAGTCCTTAGGAATTTTTGTTGTAGACACTCAAAATCTTGTTCTTGTTACAGTTGCTAATAACTAAAACATGTGAAATCTGTGAAGTCAAACGTTAATCTGTTGAATTTCCAGTTGTGAAATACGTATTTTGACCTTTCACACCTAAACCAACCGAGTACGCACATATGATGACCGTAGTTTCATAATGCGCATATATTTTATGGTCACATTTAAAAATCGGCGGGGTTGTATCATATTCCGCTAACTCGTTACTTGTGTAAACAATCGCAAACTATCATGGACATCAAAGATGAGCTAGACAATGTCCTCATCAGGATTAACTTGGGTTGAAACAAAAGAAAATAAACCTGTTAAGAAGCTTAAGTGGCCACTTGAGAGGCGTCATGGCTCCTTCCGTTAGTACCTTCCATGGT